CCTGCAAATGCCATGATTTTATTCTCTTTTATTGCTGAGTAATATTCCATTGTGTATAAATGCCACATTTTTTTTTTATCCATTCATCTATTGAAGGGCATCTAGGTTGGTTCCAGTTCAGCTATTGTGAATTGTGCTGCTATAAACATTGATGTGGCTGTGTCCCTGAAGTATGCTGTTTTTAAGTCCTTTGGTAGAATACCTGCTCTTTGCCATGGTCTGCAACCCCCACCCAATCTGGGACCCCCTCTCAGATGATCACTGCTTCCTGCAAGTGCTTCATCCCAGGAGGACCCTGCCCACGGCCTCTGTTATTAGTGGCAGCTGTTTCTACAGCTCTTGACTCCTTGCTCAACTTAAAKGTCACCACCTCAGAGTGGCCAACCCTACCCCATGTTGTCCTTCCCCAACATCATCCTTCATTGTTTCTTAYAATCAAAATGTATCGTATTTCTTACTTCTTATTTGCTTTTCCTGGTTTCTCAACCAAAAAAAAAAAAAAGTTAAGTCCCACAGGTGGGGGAACTTTGGATTATTCGCTGTGATGTCTTTGGCACCCAGATCCATCCCACCTACCATGACCTTCTGCCAACACTTGAATGAGTGGATTCTCGCAAACACCTTGCTTAAAAACGGAATGTTTGTCCCTTCTGAATAGTTTTCACTATATTTCTAAAATGAGTATTTGTGTTTGGGGAGTTCCAAATATCGAAATCCTAACAGAACTTCAGAACAGCCATGACCACTGACTTTATGTTAAAATGCTAGGGTTATATAAAATGAAGATGGTTAGTCACTTCCAAAGAAAAAGTAAAATAAGTTTTACACTAGATGGCACTGTCTCTCCTACTTAAATATTTGAGTTCTATAATCTAAAACCCCTCATTTTGCAGAAGAGTACATTTGCCAAGTTTGAAGTAAGAGGCTTTTTCCCCATAAACAAGTTAAGGTTTCATTATGATCATTTCTGTCTTTATGATCACAATCCTATTAGCAAGTATGAGTCTTCTGTGTACCAAGCTTCAAAGGTATAAAGCAGTTTCTCTACTTTCAAGGTGCAGAGAGAAACCAGAGAGAAGAAAAAGGTTCATAAATTAAGTATATCTCTGTCTCTCTCCTTCTCTCTCCCCATCTCCACACATGCATGTGTGCACAAGTGCATGCACTCACTCACACACACACACACACACACACACAGAGAGAGAGAGAGAGAGAGAGAGAGAGAGAGAGAGAGCGAGAGAGAGAGAGAGAGCATGTATAAATCATATAGGGAAACATGGGTAAAGAATGGAAGTGTGTTGGGGTTGCCAGGGTCAGGAAAGACTTATCGTAGACATTTAAGTTGGCTCTTAACAGTAAGAAGAGACCTTCCAGATCTACAAAAGGGAAAGGGCCTCCCAGCCAGCTGGAACACGAGGCTGAAGACATGATGTATGAGATACATGGCACCTGTGTTCCATGGGACTGGAAGCTCGGGCGAGAGAACAGGAGAAATGAGGAAGTGCCCTGGACAAGGCCATGAAGTTCTCTGCCTTTTGAGCCAAGGAGTTTAGAACTCACCCTCTAAGAGTTAGGAGGTCTGACTGAGGGTTTCTATAGATAACTGTAAATGTGAAGGAAACTGAGAGGGAGAAGCCACKGCTGGATAGAAGGGAGTTATGTCCAAGCCTAGCCCTATGCTGCTGTTGCATTTGTTAACTCTCTGCCATAATGACTTCCCCTAATTGAATTGAAATAGACATTGGTTGGCCTCTGGACAACCAATATGGGTTCCTGGACTCCTCTGCAGTCAAAGCCAAGATAGTCTGCCTCTCCTCCCCGACCCTCTAAGGACACCATTTTTTCCACTACGGACTTTTGCAGGGTGGCTCTACAGTGTGCTGGAGGGGTGCACTGTGCAAGACTCAGGAGGACACAGATGATGCCCTCAGGACCAGGATGATCACATGCARCTACGCCCTGTCTTCTGGGAGCCCACCTTTGATGGCATAACTGCTTTAGAACTGGAGCTTGAATTATGACCTAAGTCTTGGGGATGTGGGTATATGCTGAGAAAAACTGTGTGTTTTCTCACCTTTTAAACTCTTTAACAGTTTTAGACTCTACTTAATATCTAGAAGGAATTGAGCAAATAATTCAGTGAAGGACAGTCTCTGACGACAGCTACTTTAAGGGCCTAGCGTTTACCTGGTCATCAATTTGTGCAGTTGAAGAAATGGGAAGGWAATTTGAGGCTTTTAATTTCTGAAAACTTTAAATGCCCAAGAGCAACAGACTCTGAAATTGGAAATTAATTCTTTTTCAAAATTATCAGTAACTCCAGACATTAATTTTCTTAGGATGGTATCCTTTACTATATCCCAGGATATTTAATAACAGGAGGACTTTGATAGTCTTATGGAGTATTTCTAAGTTGCTTCTTAGAGTATCTTCATGGATTGTTTCATCTTACTGCAGAACCTCTGACAGGGACTGCTTGACAACACACTGTGGCATAAATTTGGCACGGGGAAGAGAATACAGGGTCATTTTTTCAGGTGTGGGGCTGAACTCCAATCTACTTCAGAACCTTCTGGGGGGAAAAACTGTGCTAATCTTAATGATCTTAGGAAGAGCCACAAAGAAGCAAYGATTAGAACCAGCTCCAATACAGGTGTTTTCATAGTATGTGTTAGTTTTTTTTGTCCCTCGACAACATACCTGAGATAATCAACTTAAAAGGAGGAAAGGTTTATTTTGGATTCTGGTTTCAAAGATTTCAGTCCGAGGTTGAGCCTATAGCGAGGAAGAACATCATGGCAGGAGAACAAAGCAAAGAAGGCTGTTCCCCTCATAGAGGTAGAGAAATGAAGTTAGGTGGAGCCACCTCTTTTCTGCTGATTCCCTGTTTTCTTTGCATAGAAAGTCAGTTAGGGTCACAGTCCTGACCCTCTCTGCTGCCTCACCACTGARCACCACAGGAATATCTGAACCCATCAGGGGTTTGGTGACAAGAAGCTGGCTTGAGACTCTATAGTACCCAGCCCCTCCTTTTCTCCTTAATTTTGGTAGCCAGCCTCCTGCAAGAGTCACAGTTTTGTGATATTCCTCCCAATTTTGCAGAGGGTAACAACTGGGAGTAAGATTCCACTTATTTCATAAAACCCCGCTGAGTCGTCCCATGGAGGAAGCCCTTCCTGAAACCTCAAATGAAGCAGGACGGATCCTCTTCCGCTCTTCATTTCTACAACGTTCATATTCTGCATTTTTGGTACATTGCAGAATAATATATCTGCTCACATATCTGTCTCCTCCACTTGACTGACAGCTCCTGGGAGCTTTAACTCCTCAAGTTGTCTTTAATTCTGCACATCTCCAGTGCCAGGGGCAATGGCTGCCAAATAACCTCATGAAATGAATGTGATGTTGATTTTAGTAGCAATTGCTCAGTGAAATACACAATTCACTATGTACCACGGTTATCTTACGCTGAGTCAACTCTTTCAAAAACAAGTTATAGAATTATGAACGAATGGCAGAATTGGCATGATTTTGCTTATATGTCTACCTATAGAGTTGAATTAGGCTAGCTTTTCTAAAAAGTGACTTTATTATCATATCTAAGAAACAATGTAAAAGGAATCAAATATCCCATTTACCACAGAAGATCTCTTTATTAGACACCTGTCAATTTCATATTCCAAAGCTATTTTTTTGGCCAGTTACTAGAAGTAGGAAAAGCTATAAATTAAGGGAAATTGCTATCCCAAACAGGAAAAGAAGAATAGACGTAAACACAATATCTTTAGGGAAAAAAGATATTTCATTATAAAGTTAGAAATTACCTTACTGGTTTTGATGTTGCTGTTTCTGTCCTAAGTGACTTGAAGAAATTCTGACAATCACAAGCTGTTACAAGACATTATAAAATTACACTGATAGAAATAGTCTTGACAGCAAATTCAGCCAACTCTCCTAGCAAGACCACACCCAGGACATCCAAGATGAATTGAAATTTGTAGTTTATATGTGAACTGATTATTTTTAGTATTTTAAGAAAAGGAAATTCCATATCTTCTATCTTATCTAGAATTTACTCAAAGGGATAAAAGAGAAGTCAATTTGTGAATGAATTATGTCAAGCACAGTGCTGAACCCTCTAATATGAATTATTTTTAGGCTCAAAATAGCCATGCAAAGCAAACATTATTATGTTATTTCTTTTTAATAATTGGAGTGATAAGAAACCAGGAAGATAAAGAAATTTGATAGCAAAATTGAGTTTGAGTCACCATACTGTCAGGCTCTAAAGCTTATTACCTTTAAGTAAAACAAAGGGAACTCATGAAGTCTTAAATATCAGTTCCAGGCCATTCTGGTCATTTTGGTCTCATTTTAGAAAAGAAGAATTCACCCTGAGTTGACATTCCTGTTATCTCCAGAGTTTCATGAACTCCCTTCAATCTGACCACTGTCCCAATATTTTATTAAAACAGTTTTCATAAAATGGAATGAGTTTGTTCTTCAAACCTTTCTTGGCCTCTAATTTGTAAATTTCATTGCATGGATCACCATCTTTGGAAAAGAATCTTCCCCTTGACTCCAGTGACATTACACCATTCCTGATTTTCATCCTGCTTTTGTAGTTCATTTATTTCTTTTCCTGCCACCTCCAAGTGGGTACCTTTTCTGGAAACTGAGAGCAGTTCCACACTGTCTAAGAAACCAGTACTTCTTTTGATTTAAGGAATGCTTAATTGCTGTTTCCTCTATTCATGGAGCTATCTCCTTATAGCAGCTTGGTCCCATTCTCTACACACTTCAATCCCAGATGTCTGTCACCAAAACCACCAATCCCTTCTTAAGAATACTTCTTTTTTTTTTTTGGTGTCCTAGTTATGGTGCTTATCACAGTGAAAAAATAAGGACTCGTGTTTGTATTTCATCTATGACTTTTCCTTCCCTTTATYTTATAACAGGTTTCTTTAAAATGTAAGACAATCCTAGAACTTATAAATTTTTCTTGCACCTGTCTTGCTCTACCTGATTCCACCCTCTTCTCACCTAAGAGTGAATTCTCTCTCCCAGGAGCCTTCCCAATCCCCTCTCCTTCCAATCCACCCTGAATGCTTATTCCCAGTTACTCTTTCTTAAAAACTGCWCTCATCAGATTGCTGACTCGTTGGAAAACTTTCAACCTGTTTGTATTTGCAGCTGCATAAAATTTAAATTACTAGTTTGACTTCCAAGAACCTTTGWAATCTGTGTTTTCTCTACTTTAAGCAATCTCATTTCTTGTTACTTTAGCAATATTCTGCTCCAATAAAGCCAACCTTTTTGCTCTGTAAACAAAATACATCTTTAAATAAAATGCACATTCCAATTTTATGCCACTTTTTTAATGTTCACCTTGCCTAGAATTCTCTCTTGACTCAAGTAAGATTTTCCTCACTCTATGAAGTTTCTCTTTTTGTAGTGCTTGAACCCAGGACCTTGCACATGMTGGGCAAGTGCTCTACCACTGAGCTATGCCCTAAGCCCCTTCCCTTTTTCTTAAACTTGTACCTTATTCCAAGCCTGCACCTAATGCATCAATTAACACTTTGATGGTTATTATCCCGAACTAAGTGATCACGGTAGATTTGCATATGTTATCCCTTAATTTTCCAATCAGACTTAAGGTCACCATGGAAAGAAATCTTGCCAYTGATGTTGATTTTCCCTTTAGAGTATATATATTGACGAATGCTACTTAACACTAGTAATCTGAATTTATATACCCTGATACATACAATAATTTAAAACTAGAAAGTCATTTAAAAATTAACAGAACAGTCTCTTGTTTTACTTTTTAAAAAAGGAATATAAATAAAACTGTTTATTGACCACTGGTCAACAGTATTTACAATAAAGTAAACAATATAGTTGGGTAACATTCTGATTACTACAAAGTCATTTTCCTGGCTTGTGTTGAACCAATATTCCAAGTACTGAAAAGATTGAGCCTACGTGTAAGGAATGAGTTGGGGAAAAGATAAAGCCATGCAGGTCAATAATTTAGACTGTAAAAATTTGCTCACCCATTTATGTGAGCAGGTTGTAGATTGCCAACATCTCTAGCCATCTGATTAGGTTTCCAAGAGCCAAATCTCATGACATTCCATGAATCATGATGTTTTAACACACAGATTTCAACTTGTTCAAAAAGGAATGGCTAACTAGAGGAACCCTTAAATGTCCACTTAAGTCTTGCTTAGCTAATTAAATTAGGATTTGTCTAGTTTCCTTGTCTTGGAGAAGTTGTTAGTAGTGATAGTATTTTTCCTTTCCAGAGTTTTGCAAATAAAACTGTTGCCTTTATGTGACTATAGATGTAGATTTGGTGTGGCTTCTTTTAATTATCCAATTTAAACTGCCCAATTGACTACAGAATCATTTATTTAAGCTTAAGGGTTAGGGCTTCAGGGAAAAATTTCAATTAATTTGAAGTGCCTTATTTCTTGGTTTACTTTTTTTGATAGGGAGGTACTGGGGATTGAATTCAGGGGCACTCAACCACTAAGCCACATCCCCAGCCCTATTTTGTATTTTATTTAGAGACACGGTCTCACTGAGTTGCTTTAGTGCCTTGCTTTTGCTGAGACTGTCTTTGAACTCAAGATCCTCCTGCCTCAGCCTCTGGAGCCGCTGGGATTACAGGTGTGGGCCACTGCACCTGGCTCTTGGTTTACTTTTAATGTTATTTGAAAACTAAGATATTTTTTCTACGTAAAAGTAATAATAGAAGTAAGTCTAAAAACTTAAGAAATAGACAAATTAAGGGATGATTACTTGCACTGCAGACACTGTCATTTATTTTAGAATTCACGAAGGCTCTTTGAGTATCTCTCTCCATACAATAAATCTTCCCATAGATCACCTCTTGATGAAGAGGGAACTGAGTCTCAAAGCTATTATAAAAGCCACACAGAATTTCTGAGTCATCCATATTAAAGATTAACTTGATATGAGGATGTAGCATCTGTAATATTATATATTGCATCATTGAAGAATAATTCCTTGCAAAAAGCAGTAGTACTCACCATATCCAAGACTTTCTAAAGCTTCAATTGGAATATAGTATCCTAAAGCCTGGGATTCCTTCACACTGCTGTGATATAATAATCTTACCTTGACATAATCATAAAGGCACTGTTGTGAATTGGTCATTGTCTCCAGAGCAAACGTATTGAAGGTGAGTTGAATGAGTTTGTTTACAGGTGCTATTATGAACCATGTGCAGCTTAAGCCTTTGTCATATTTTCCATTTGAATCAGAATCAGGAGAGACAAAGGTACCATTGGAAACTGTCAGATAACCGCCACATCCGTGTTGCGGCCCTGTGAAAACAAAGACATCACTGTGCCGACCAAGCAGAAGAAATTTTGAATTTTATGAGAAAATTTTGTTTTGTTGTTATTTATTTTGGTGGTGCTGGCGATTAAACCCAGGGACTTTCTACCACTGAGCCACACTCCCAGCTTTTGTCATACATATTTTCTTATTCTTTTAAGACAGGGTCTTGCTAAATCACCCAAGCTGGCTTGGAAGTTGCAATCTTCCTGCCTTGGCCTCCAGAGAAGCTGGGATTATAGGAATGCATCCCCATGGAAGGTTTTAAAAAGAGCATAGCTTCCATTTTTCTGTCACACTTTTATGAACATTATCATGGAGATTCTGCAGGCTGGGGCAGGTGTCTTTTCCMCTTGCCTGGTTCATTCTCTACTTTCTTCCCTCTCCACTCCCACCATAGGCCCCGAGTCACCTCCTTATCAAGGGGACATGGTTACCTAGAAGAGTGATTAACCACATTTGGTTCTATGTACAGTTTTGGTACTCTTGTGTGATTTATTGAAGCATTTCCCAACCTTGAAAAATCCAATTTTGTACAAAATCAAGTATTTTGCACAATAAAACTGGTGGAGAATATGAACATATTTTATTTTTATGTTCCACTTTTATGAATACTGCAAGACACAAAACTGAATTTATGAAGGTTTACTCAACACCCCAAGATAACTGGATCTCAACAAATTTTTTTATTCAAAGAGTCTGATAAAAAGAGGCTGAGAAGCATTTCACATTATAGTCTAGGTTATATGAAACATTAAACTACACTCTACCTTTTTTTTTTTTTTTTTTTTGATGCTGGTACTAGGGATTGAACCCAGGGCCTTGTGCATGCTAGGCAAGCACTCTACTAACTAACTCTACCAACTGAGCTACACCCACAGCCCCTAAACCATACACTATATGTGATTTTTTTTTCCCAAATCAGGGACAAAGAGAAAGCTGAAGAAGAAGAAGAACTTCAACTAGGGAAAAATTGTCTACTTTGAAATAAAAATTTTCTTTTTTTTTCCYTTTTWAAWTTTTWWTWWTTTTTTTTWMYTTYYTTTTTTTATTGTTGGTTATGAGGATGTAGCATCTGTAATATTATATATTGCATCAYTGAAGAATAATTCAAAACATTACATAGTTCTTGATATATCATATTTCACACTTTGATTCAAGTGGGTTATGAACTCCCATTTTTACTCCGTATACAGATTGCAGAATCACATCAGTTACACTTCCATTGATTTACATATTGCCATACGCGTGTCTGTTGTATTCTGCTGCCTTTCCTATCCTCTACTATCCCCCTTCCCCTCCCCTCCCCTCTTCTCGCTCTACCC